CAAAAGAAGCAGATTGAAGATGAAATTGAAAGAAGAGGCTACAACTGAATCAAAGGTAATTCCTAACCCTTCAATTCAACTTCAATCTAATACTTTTCCTTTTCCTGGCAGATTCGCGAAGTCAAAGAAAGGAAGGATAAAGAATTTTGGAGATGTTTCGCAAGTGGGAAGTGATATACCTCTGTTGGATGCAATTAGCAAGTGCCAAGGTATGCGAAATTTCTTAAGGACTTGCACCAATAAGCGGGTGATAGTATGAGAAGATAATAATGGGAGAAAATGTTGTCAGCATTTTTCCAAAGAAAACTTCCTCCCAAATGCAAGGATCCAGGTATTTTTATAATTCCGTGTAAGATAGGTAACACACGAATGGAGAGCTATGGTAGATTTAGGAGCTTCGTTAATGTTATGCCAAGATCTATTTATGTTTCATTAAATCTAGGTCCTGTGAAAGATACGGTGTTATATCCTATGGCTGATCGCCACTAATGCATACCCTGAAGGTGTAGTTAGATGTTCTTGTGCATCATGAGTTAGAGTTTCCACGGATTTTACATTCTAGATATGGATGATTCTTCATCTCCTGACCCTGCACCTATCTTTTGGAAGACCATCCTAAATCACAGCTTGGACAAAAATAATGTTCATGATGGTACCCTCACAATGGAATTTGATGTGAAGTAATTCGGTTAATATTTGATGGCCATGGAGTCGGCTAACGACGTTAACCAAAGGCGCTGCTTGGAGGCAACCCAAGAATTCAGATTTGTTTTCTTTTCCCTTGACTTTAGTTTTTTTTTTAGTTTTGCCATTTTTTTTTTCTTTTTGTTTTATTTGTTTTATTTGCCTATCTCTACATTTGGGTTTTACATTGGGGACAATGTAGTTTTAAGTGTGGGGGAGAAGTTAGGCTTTAGTTTTTGTTATGTTAAGCAAAAAAAAAAAAAAATTGTTTTTACGAAGGTTTATGCTTTAAGTCATGTCTTTGAATGTCTAGTGATGCATGAAATAAACTTGACTTTGTTATTGAACATATTCCTTGACTTAGATGTTAGCAATATTTCATAAAATAGAGTTAAATCATATTTGAATCTTTGTAGTTTTTGAAACAATAGGTCTTGATAAGTTGTGTGAACTTGTGACGAAGCATGACTAAGGAGTGTATAACAACCCTTAAAAGAAAAAAAAAAAAATTGTTTCTCTTAAGCTAGTCCTAATTTGGGTTTAAGCAATAGGAAAAAGAAAAAAGAAAGGTATGTGTGAGTCGAGATGGAGCGTAAAACGACACTCCCTCATAAACACACACCATGAAATGAATGGGAGCATAAAATGCACTCAACTGTCAAAAAAAGAAAAAAAAAAAAAAAAAAAAAAGAAAGAAAATATTTCTAGTTTGCTACCCAGTTTGTAGTAGTAAAGAGAAACAGTTGAGGGGTGATTTGTACATGAATTGGTTGTGATTAGTCTTCTGTTTGCATTGACTAATTGAAGTAATTGTGGAAATGATGAAGAGATACGAAGTTCATTAACTCTCACTTTATTTTATATTTGTTGCTTCCTAAGTTAGGTATGAATATGCATGGATTAAATGGTGTTGCTTATGCATCATGATGGTGTTCTGGTATGACTTGATGTAGCTTTTCTTAGTGTTTGATTAGTTTGCCCGATGATGCACAAAGCTAAGTGTGGGGAATTATTTGATAACAGTGTAATTGATATATTTTTATTCCTTCCTATTATGTTTTTTGTTATGTTTTGTCCTATTTGAAGATTGATTAGAGTTTATTTTGTGAGTTTGGCATAGTTATAGACTTTAGGAATAAGTTAAAAGTTAGGAATTCCAGATTTTCCAGATTTTTCGTTATTCTGACCAGTGCTGAGTTTTCAGTTTTTTCATGGAGCTAGATTCCTCAATTGCAAAAGTGGCTTCAAAGAAATTAAAGTAGACAAATCAAGCTTTTCAGAAGGTATTATTAGAATCCGAGTTCGTTTGGGTTCTCAGTTGTTGTTGCAAAACCGGACCTGAATCCTAGTCGTAGAAGGATTCCTTACTGAGCATTGAATCTTCGAACGGGCCTAACTGAGGCGTCAGATATCGAAACGGGTGATTCAAAAGCCCAGATTCATCTACACATCCTAGACTACAATTTTTTATGAAGTGACGGAGCCCAGAAAAGATCTTTTACATTGCGAGAATCCTGGTGCAAGCTGGAGACGAATTCTGGAATCCATATCTGATCAGATTTTATCAAATCTGGAAGTCTCTTCTAGGAAACGTCTAGGAAAGAAATTCCGTGATTCTTGGGAAAGAATTAAGGAAAACACTGTTATTTAATTAGAAGTTTTTAGGTTAAACGGGGGGAGACAGTAGAGTTTTAATTTTGGAGAGTTTTTGCGTTCTAGATCAAGATGTGCGGCTAATTTCCTTCTTCAGTTCAAGGGATTTTGAAGCCTAATTTCATGTCATTGGTGTAGCCTAACTTCAGTAACATTGTTCTTAATCTCGTTTTTATTGGAATGTTTATGTTATTCTGTTTTAATTGTTTATAATTTTCTGTTTGGGTGATTTAGTAATGCCTGCTGAATTATTTCATCGAATTTTATCTGTAGAATTAGGAATTGTGATCCGTAATTGTCCTTTTTCTATTCAATGAGTGACACATGATGATAGCTGATTATGGACATTTTTCGGTCTATTGTCTTGAATACATCCTAAGTTAAATATCCGAGCTTGCGTGATTGTTGCTTAGATTGATTCTATTCTCCTAATTCTTAAGGCTGCCATTGAATTAAATTTGAGAGCTTGTTCTAGGTTGTTCAAGGGTTAGTATCACTTCGAGAGCTTGTTCGTAGTGACAAACTAAGGGAGAATTCGGGTAACAGAGCTGTTGTTTCCTAGGGTCATAGTTTCCATAATGAAGATAGAAAAGTGTTACAGTTACTTTTATGTCCAATGCATGTTTAGGTGGAATTGAACCGAGAACTGATGTTAACCTTAATTTTATTTCTCTGTTTACTTTAGGTTGCCTTGATTACAAACCCCCTTTCATTACTGTTGTCAAGTTTACGGTTTAGTTTAATTTGCGTTTCTGTTGTTTTTATTGTTTTAGAATATAGAAATTAATCGGTCATTCCCTGTGGGATCGACCCTTGCTTGCCCTTATACAATTCTAGTTAGGTCTAGTAAGGTTAATTAATTTGGTGCATTCGGCACGCTACCAAATTTTGGCGCGTTGCTAGGAATGTGTATTTGTCGATTTTTTTATATATTCTACGTTTTTTTTTTTTTTTTGTATTTTGTTAATCAGTGCTTAGTTGTTGTTTTTTTTTTATTTTTATTATTTGTTTAATTTTTTTTAGTTTTTGAAAAAAAAAAAAAAAAAAAAAGAGTTTTTTTGTTTTTAGGGAGGTCTATGCTTTAAGTCATGTCTTTGAACGTCTAGTGATGCATGAAATAAACTTGACTTTGTTATTGAACATATTCCTTGACTTAGATGTTAGCAGTATTTCATAAATAGAGTTAATCAATTTGAATCTTGTAGTTTTTGAAACAATAGGTCTTGATAAGTTGTGTGAACTTGGTGACGAAGCAGACTAAGTAGTGTATAACACCCCTTAAAAGAAAAAAAAAATTGTTTCTCTTAAGCTAGTCCTAAATTTGGGTTTAAGCAAATAGAAAAAAGAAAAGAAAGTATATGGTGAGTCAGATGGAGCGTAAACGCCACTCACTCACATAACACAACCATTAAATGAGATGGAGCATAAAATGCACTCATTGTCAAAAAAAAAAAAAAAAAAATTCTATTTTTGCTACCCAGTTTGTAGTAGTAAAAGAAACATTGAGAAAAATTAAGAGGTGAGTTGTACATGAATTGGTTGTGATTAGTTTCCTTGTTTGCATTGACTGATTGAGAGTAATTGTGGAAAATGATGAAGAATATACGAATGTCATTAACTCTACTTTACTTTATCTTTGTTGCTCCTAAGTTAGTATGAATATGCATGGATTAAATATGTTGCTTATGCATCATGATGGTGTTCTGGATATGCTAAGTGTGGGGGAATTTGTAAAAGTGTAATGTATTTTTTATTTCCTTCCATATTATGTTTTTGGTTATGTTTTTATGCCTATTTGATTGATTAGAGTTATTTTTGCGTTTTCTGTGTTTTTTTGTTTTAGAATATAGAAATTAATCGAGTCATTCCTATGGATCGACCCTTCTTTGCCCTTTATACATTCAATAGTTTAGTCAGTAGGTTAATTAATTTGGTGCATCAAACCAATTGATTCTCTAAAGAAAAAGTATCACCAATTTTTTCATAATCAAAAAATCTTTTTACCATTGTTTTAAAATCGTCATCTTTCTCAAAAAAAAAAAAAAAAAAAAAAAGTCAAAGAAAACTTTCAAAAAATCTTCTTTCCAATAATATTTGGCAAAGAATATTTTTTTGATACCCATATTATGATTTTATGGAATTAAATAAGTATATTAAAAATCCAACACTAATGCATCAGTTGAAGCCTTACCCCTTTCTCAAAATCTGTTAACAAAATTTATCTTGAAACCAAATTCTGCTAAAAAAGTCATTATGAAATAGAGCAAGAAAACCTACTATCGAACTGTCTAGCAGTACTTGGCAACCTCGGGTATAACAACGCCACGTACACCTTAAACGAAATCTGCATTTGTTTGAAAAAAAAAAAAGAGAGAATTTTTTTTTCTTTTGAACAGTAATACTGTTAATTTATGAACAGTATACTATTCATAAGAGAAATTTTGGTTGAATTAGAGTGCTGTGAGTACTCGTTTCGAAGAAAACGAAATTCTGAGCAAGGCTAGAAATAACGTTTCTAGCCCCATCCTCTTGAAGTCAAATTCGATCATTTAATAGTGGTTTTGGGGCAATTTTAGTTTCTGTGAAAAAAAAAGTTTAATTTTTTTTAATTTTTTTTATTAGTTTTTATTTATTTAGGCTTAATTTGGTGATTTTATTGGTTTATGACTCGATCCAATTCTACAAGAGAGTTGGAATTTGATCCAAAAATTGAACGCAGTTTACGAAAGTTGCGAAAAGAGGCACAACAAACAAATTCAACATTCCACAGTTCATCTAGTGACCCGTATTCAGAAATAGGAGAAGAGATGGCAGCTGCTGGCAGAACATTGAAGGAGTTGGCTGCCTCCAATTTTAATCAGCAGCCTTTGTGTATTCAATACCCTACTTTAGATGTTGCTTTTGAACTTAAGTCTGATCTAATTCACTTGTTGCCTACATTCTGTGGTTGTGCAGGTGAAGATCCAAATAAACATCTAAAAGAGTTCCATATAGTCTGTTCAAGCATGAGACCGACAGGGGTGACAGAGGAGCAAGTTAAGTTGAGAGCTTTCCCTTTTTCGTTGGGGGATGATGCAAAGGATTGGCTCTATTATTTACCATCGGGGACAGTCACAACATGGAACGAGATGAAAATGATGTTTTTAGAAAGATATTTCCTAGCATCCAGAGCTGCCACCATCAGGAAAGAGATATGTGGTATAAGGCAATATAATGGAAAGACATTGTATGAATATTAGGAGCGATTCAAGAAGCTATGTGCAAGCTGTCCTCACCACCAAATAAGTGATCAGCTATTAATTCAGTATCTCTATGAAGGATTGCTGCCTATGGAAAGGAACATGATAAATGCAGCAAGTGGAGGTGCGTTGGTGGATAAGACTCCTGAAGCTGCCAAACAATTAATCTCAAACATGGCTGCCAATTCCCAACAGTTTGGTACAANAGAATCCTGGTGCAAGCTGGAGACGAATTCTGTTTTCCATATCTGATAAGATTTTGACAAATCTGGAAGTCTATCTTTTAGGAAACGTCTAGGAAAGTAATTTCCGTGATTCCTGGGTAGAATTAAGAAAAACACATGTTATTTATTGATGAGTTGTTAGGTTAAAAAGGGGGGAGAAGAGACAACAACAGTTTTTAGTTTTTTCGGTTTTCTTTTACTTTCTATGGAAAGATGTGAGGCTGATCTTTCTACCAATTTTTTATTTATTTATTTATTTATTTTTATTTTATTTTGTTTAATTGTGATTTTTAGGTTTTTGAAGAAAAAAAAAAAGAATTTTTTTTGAACAATAGCACTATTCAACATGAACAGTGGTACTATTCAGTACTATTCCTAAGAGAAATTTTGGTTGAACTAGGAGTGCTACGAGTACCTGTTTCAAAGAAAACGACATTCTGAGCAAGACTAGAAATAATTCTAGCCCCACCCTCTCGTTCTCAAATTCAATCATTTATAGGGTTTTTAGCCAATTTTCGTTGCTGTCAAGAAAAAATTTTATTTTTTATTTATTTTTATTTTTGTATTATTATTTATTTATTTATTTAGGCTTAATTTTGTGATTTTAGTGGTTTATGACTCGATCCAATTCTACAGGAGAGTTGGAATTTGATCTAGAAATCGAATGTAGTTTACGGAAGTTGCGAAAAGAGTCACATCAAGCAAGTTCTTCATCTCCTGATCTAAATATAGCCCTTGGTTCAGCATCCCACAGTTCATCCAGTGATTTGGATTCAGAGATAGAAGAAGAGATGGCCGCTGGCAGAACATTAAAGGAGTTGGTTGCCCCTGATTTTAATCAGCAGCCTTGTGTATTCAATACCCTACTTTAGATGTTACTTTTGAATTGAAGTCTGGTCTAATTCACTTGTTGCCTACATTTCGTGGTCATGTAGGTGAAGATCCAAATAAACATCTAAAGGAGTTTCATGTTGTCTGTTCAAGCATGAAACCGACTGGAGTGACAAAGGAGTAGATTAAGTTGTGAGCTTTTCCTTTTTCGTTGGGGATGATGCAAAGGATTGGCTCTATTATTTACCATAAGGGACAGTCACAACATGGAACGAGATGAAAAGGATGTTTTTAGAAAGATATTTCCCAGCATCTAGAGCTGCCACCATCAGGAAAGAGATATGTGGGATAAGGCAATATAATGGAGAGACGTTGTATGAATATTGGGAGCGATTCAAGAAGCTATGTGTAAGCTATCCTCACCACCAGATAAGTGATCAATTGCTAATTCAGTATCTCTATGAAGGATTGCTGCCTATGGAAAGAAATATGATAGATGCAGCAAGTGGAGGTGCGTTGGTGGATAAGACTCTTGAAGCTGCCAAACAGTTAATCTCAAACATGGCTGCCAATTCCCAACAGTTTGGTACAAGACATGATGCGCCAACCAAAAAGGTGAATGAGGTAAGTACATCTTCCATTGAAAAACAATTATCTGATATTACCTCTCTTGTTAGACAATTGGCTGTAGGGAATGCGTAACAAGTAAAAGCTTGTGGGATATGTTCGACAATGGGACACCAAACGGACATGTGCCCAACACTTCAAGAGGAAGGGACTGAACAGGTCAATGCAGCAGGAAACTTTCCTGGACCACCGAGGCAACATGATCCTTACTCTAACACATATAATCCAGGTTGGAGAGATCATCCGAATTTCAGTTATGGAGGAAATAGACAAGTAGGAGGTGGACATAATTTCTTCCAGAATAGACAACAACAAAGTTTTCAACCGAAGCAACCTGCCTCACAGAGTTCAAACTCATCCCTGGAAGATATAGTTAAGTCCCTTGCTTTGAATACCGAATAGTTTCAACAAGATACAAGATCTAGTATTCAAAGTCTGGAGAATCAGATGGGTCAAATGGCAACTGCTATAAGTCGTTTAGAGGCTCAAGTTGGAGGGAAGTTGCCTTCTCAAATAGTGGTGAATCCAAAGGAGAATGTGAATGCAGTGACGCTAAAAAGTGGCAAGAAAGTGGAAGAACCAAAGCTGAACATTCCAAGTGTAGCAAAGGAGGCAGAGATTGAAGATGAAATTGAGAAAGAAAAGGCTACAACTGAATCAAAGGTAATTCCTAACCCTTCAATTCAACTTCAGTCTAATACTTTACCTTTTCCTAGCAGATTTGCGAAGTCAAAGAAAGAAGAGAAGGATAAAGAAATTTTGGAGATGTTTCGCAAGGTGGAAGTGAATATACCTCTATTGGATGCAATTAAACAAGTGCCAAGGTATGCAAAATTTCTTAAGGAGCTATGCACCAATAAGTGGAAGTTGAACGGTGATGAGAAGATAATAATGGGAGAAAATGTGTCAGCAGTTTTCCAAAGAAAACTTCCTTCCAAATGCAAGGATCCAGGTATGTTTACAATTCCGTGTAAGATAGGTAACACCAGGATTGAGAGAGCTATGTTAGATTTAAGAGCTTCGATTAATGTTATGCCACGATCTATTTATGCTTCATTAAATCTAGGTCCTGTGAAAGATACTGGTGTTATTATCCAATTGGCTGATCGCACTAATGCATACCCTGAAGGGGTAGTTGAGGATGTTCTTGTGCAAGTCAATGAAATAGTGTTTCTAACTGATTTCTACATTCTGGATATGGATGATTCCTCTTCTCTTGACCCTACACCTATCTTACTAGGAAGACCATTCCTAAATATAGCTCAGACAGAAATAGATGTTAATGATGGTACCCTCACGATGGAATTTGATGGTGAAGTAATTCGTTTTAATATTTTTGATGCCATGAAATATCCAACTGATGTTCAATCTATTTTTGCTATTGATGTTGTTGATCTTGTTGATTCCATAGTGCAAGAGGTCTTTGAGTTGAATAATGCAGATGAGTTAGAGGTTGCCCTTCTCAAACATGTGGAATCAGAGGAGAAAGGAGAGATGGAGCTCAGTGAAGAATTGAAGGAGACAGTGGCAGCTTTACATTCTTTAAAACCGATTCCAGAAAGGTATGGAGTTTCTTTTATAAAGCTCCCTAATTCTCACAAAAAATTATTGCCTTCTATTTTAAAGGCCCTTATACTGGAGTTGAAGCCATTACCGAGCCATTTGAAGTAGGTGTACTTGGGAGAGAATGAGACACTGTCAGTAATTGGGTCGAAGAAGTTAACACCCAATCAAGAAGAGAAACTAGTTTGAATGTTGCAAGAGCATAAGGAAGCGATTGGCTGGACCATAGCTGACATTAAGGGGATTAGTCCTTCCATATGCATGCATCGGATTCTGTTAGAAGAAGGAGCCAAACCGAAACGAGAAGCGCAACGAAGATTAAATACCCCAATGATGGATGTGGTGAAAAAAGAAGTCCTAAAGCTTTTAGATGCTGGGTAATTTATCCAATTTTCGACAGTAAGTGGGTAAGTCCAGTACAAGTTGTCCCCAAGAAATCTGGTGTTACAGTGGTGAAAAATCAAGACAATGAGTTAGTCCCTACACGTATTCAGACAGGCTGGCGCGTGCGCATTGATTACAGGAAGTTGAACTCAACAACTCGAAAAGATCACTTTCCACTTCCCTTTATTGATCAAATGCTTGAGAGGTTAGCTGGTCATATTTATTACTGTTTTCTTAATGGATTTTCAGGGTATAACCAGATTGTCATAGTGCCAGAAGATCAAGAGAAGACGACATTCACTTGTCCATTTGGTACTTTCGCCTACCGTCGAATGCCGTTTGGTCTTTGCAACGCTCTAGCCACTTTTCAGCGATGTATGGTAAGTATCTTTTCAGAATATGTCGAGTCAATCATAGAGGTTTTTATGGATGATTTTAGTGTCTATGGTGATTCATTTGATAAGTGCTTACATAACCTTACACTGATTTTAGACAGATGCATAGAAACTAACCTTGTACTTAACTACGAAAAATGTCATTTTATGGTAGAGCAAGGTATAGTTTTGGGGCATATTGTCTCATCTAAGGGAATAGAGGTTGATAAGTCTAAGATAGATTTGGTTACAGCTTTGCCTTACCCCGCCATTGTGCGGGAAGTTCGATCTTTTCTTGGCCATGTAGGTTTCTATAGGAGATTTATCAAGGACTTTTCCAAAATTGCATCGCCCCTATGCAGATTGTTACAAAAAGATGTGGATTTTCAGTTTGATGAGTAGTGCAAGGAGGCATTTGACAAGCTGAAAACATTGTTACGATAGCACCAGTGATACAACCACCTAATTGGGAGCTACCTTTCCAAATTATGTGTGATGCAAGCAATTTTGCATTAGGTGCTGTTTTGGGTCAACGAGTTGGCAGAGCGTGTCACGCCATTTATTATGCATCCAAGACCTTGAATGGCGCCCATCTAAATTATTCTACGACTGAAAAAGAACTTTTATCTATTGTTTTTGCTTTAGAGAAATTTCGGTCATATTTGTTGGGTGCTAAAGTCATTGTTTTTTTCTGATCATGCAGCTCTTAGGTACTTGCTCACAAAGAAGGAGGCAAAACCAAGGCTAATTAGGTGGATTCTTCTCCTCCAGGAATTTGATTTGGAGATTAAAGATAAAAAAAGGAGCAGAGAATGTTGTAGCAGATCACCTTAGCCGTTTGGTTCGTGGCAGCGATGAACTTCCTTTGCGAGAAACATTTCCAGATGAGCAATTGTTTTCCATTGAAATGGCGTCACCATGGTATGCAGATATTGTCAATTTTTTAGTTACTAACGTGTTGCCAAATGATTTGACTAGAGCTCAAAAGGACAAGATCAAGAGTGATGCTAAGTATTATGCTTGGGACGATCCATATTTGTGGAAGCATTGCGCTGACCAAGTGATAAGAAGGTGCATACCTGAACATGAATTTACTCCTATACTAACCTTCTGTCATACCTATGCATGTGGAGGACATTTTGGACCACAGAGGACAGCTCGTAAGGTATTAGAATACGGCTTTTATTGGCCATCGTTGTTCAAAGACGCCTACATGTTCTGTAAGTCATGTGATAATTGCCAAAGAATAGGAAACATTTCTCGTAGAGATCAAATGCCACAATCTCCCATATTTATTGTTGAAATTTTTGATGTTTGGGGCATTGATTTTATGGGTCCATTTCCTGTTTCCTTTGGTAATGTTTATATTCTGTTAGTTGTTGATTATGTTTCCAAATGGGTGGAGGCGAAAGCCACCAGAACTGACAATTCAAAGGTTGTTGTAGATTTTGTTAAAACTAACATTTTTGTTAGGTTTGGGATACCAAGGGCCATCATCAGTGATAAGGGCACTCATTTTTGCAACAGGACAATATAGGCATTGCTTAAGAAATACCATGTCACACACAAGGTTTCCACATCGTACCACCCACAAACTAATGGCCAAGCGGAGGTGTCAAATAGAGAGATCAAGTCAATTTTGGAAAAGATAGTGAACCCAAACAGGAAGGATTGGTCTTTGAGATTAGACGATGCATTATGGGCATACAGAACAGCATATAAGACACCTATTGGCATGTCCCCATACAGATTAGAGATCAGAAAGTCATGTCATCTTCAAGTAGAATTAGAGCACAAGGCTTATTGGGCAATCAAGCATTGCAATATGGAGATGAAGGAAGCCGGCGTTAATAGGAAGTTGCAATTGCAAGAACTTGAGGAGTTGAGGAATGATGCCTACAAGAGTTCACACATATACAAAACAAAGACCAAAGCCTTTCATGACAAGATGATCTCAAGGAAGCATTTTTCAGTTAGACAGAAAGTCCTTCTTTTTCATTCAAGGCTGAAGTTATTTCCGGGTAAGTTACATTCTCGTTGGGTGGACCTTTTATCGTGACTAATGTTTTTCCTCATGGTGCAGTAGAAATACAGAGTTTGAAAACAAACAAGGTGTTTAAGGTCAATGGACATAGGTTTAAGCCTTACTATGAAGGGTTCCAAGTTTACACTATTGAGGAGTGGGATTGGAGGAGTCATACATGAGTAGTGATGACCATGCAGAGAGTCGAGCCAGCGACGTTAACCAAAGGCGCTGCTTGGGATGCAACCCAAGATTCAGATTTGATTTTCTTTTCCCTTGACTTTAGTTTTTTTAGTTTTGCCATATTTTTTGTTTTATTTGTTTTATTTGCTTGTCTCTACATTTGGGTATTACATTGGGACAATGTAAGTTTAAGTGTGGGGAGAAGTTAGGCTTGGATGGTTTTATATTCTGTTTTTATTTTTTGTTTTTTTAATTCTTTTTTATATTTTGTTTTTTTTTAGGAGTATGTTTCTGTTTTAAAAAAAAAAAAAGTCATGTCTAGTGAGGTTTATGCTTTAAGTCATGTCTTTGAACGTCTAGTGATGCATGAAATAGTAACTTGACTTTGTGTGAGCATATTCCTTGACTTAGGATATTGCAATATCATAAAATAGAGTTAATCATATTTGAATCTTTGTAGTTTTGAAACAATATGTCTTGAGAAGTTGTGTGAACTTGGTGACGAAGCATGATTGAGGAGTGTATAACAACCCTTAAAAGAAAGAAAAAAAACAATGTTTTCTCTTAGCTAGTCCTAAATTGGGGTTTAAGCAAATAGAAAAAAAAGAAAAAAAGATATGTGGTGAGTCGAGATGGAGCGTAAAACGCACTCCCTCATAACACAAACCATGAAATGATGGAGCATAAAATGCACTCATTTTTTTTCAAAAAACAGAAAAAAAAAAAAAAAAGAGAGAAGAAAAAAGTTCTAGTTTGCTACCCAGTTTGTAGTAGTAAAGAGAAACAATTGAGGAAAAGTTAAGGGGTGAGTTGTACATGAATTGGTTGTGATTAGTTTTCTTGTTTGCATTGACTGATTAGAGTAATTGTGGACAATGATGAAAGATATCAATGTCATTAACTCTACTTTATTTTATCTTGTTGCTTCCTAAGTTAGGTATGAATATGCATGGATTAAATAGTGTTGCTTATGCATCATGGTGGTGTTCTGGATATGACTTGAGTGTAGCTTTTCTTTAGGTTTGAATTAGTTTGCCCGAGGACGCGCAAAAGCTAAGTGTGGGGGAATTTGAAAGAGTGTAATTTAGATATTTTTTTCCTTCCATATTATGTTTTTTGTTATGTTTTATGCTATTTGAGTTAATTAGAGTTTATTTTGTGAGTTTGGCATAGTTAGATAGACTTTAGGAAATAAACGATAAAAGATTGAAAACCAGAATTGTTGTTATTCTGACCAGTGCTACGTTTTTCAGGTTTTTCAGGGAGCTAGATTCCTCAATTGCAAAAGTGTTCTTCAGAGAAATTAAAGTAGACGAATCAAGATTTCAGGAAGGTATATGGGCAGAATCCGAGTTCGTTTGGGTTCTCAGTAGTTGTTGCAAAACCGGACCGGAATCCTAGTCGCAGAAGGATTCCTTAGCTGAGTATTGAATCTTCGAACGGGCCTAACTGAGTGTCAGATATCGAAAATGGGTGATTCAAAGCCCAGATTCATCTAAACATCTGGGACTACAATTTTTATGAAGTGACTGAGCCCAAAAAATATCTTTTACATTGCGAGAATCCTGGTGCAAGCTGGAGACGAATTCTGTTTTCCATATCTGATAAGATTTGACAAATCTGGAAGTCTCTCTTCTAGGAAACGTCTAGGAAAGAAATTCCGTGATTCCTGGGAAGAATAAGGAAAACACATGTTATTTAATTAGAAGTTTTTAGGTTAAACGGGAGAGGCAGTAGAGTTTTTTCTTTTAGTTTTTTTTGCTTTCTACATCAAGATGTGCGGCTATTTCCTTCTTCAGTTCAAGGGGATTTTGAAGCCTAATTCATGTCTTGGTGTAACTTAACTTCAGTAACGTTGCTCAATCTCGTTTTTACTAGAATTGTTTATGTTATTCTGATTTAATTGTCTGTGATTCTTGTTTGAGTGATTTAGTTTTGGCCTGCTAAATTGTTTAATCAGAATTTACCTGTTAGAATTAGGAATTGTGATACGTAATCGTCCTTTTTCTATTCAACGAGTGACGCATGATGATAGCTGATTATGGACAAGTTTTTGGTCTATTGTCTTGAATAACATAACCTAAGTTAATAATCCGAGCTTGCGTGATTGTTGCTTAGATTGATCTATTCTCCTATTCTTAAGGCTGCCATTGATTAAATTTAGAGAGCTTGTTCTAGGTTGTTCAAGGGTTAGTATCTACTCGAAGAGCTTGTTTCAGTAGTGACAAACTAAGGGAGAATTCGGGTAACAGAGCTTGTTGTTTCCTAGGGTCAGTAGTTCAATAATGACGAGATAGAACAGTGTTACAGTTACTTTATGTCCAATGCATGTTTAGGTGGATATTGAACCGAGAACTTATTGTTTAACCTGATATTTTATTTCTCTGTTTTACTTTAGTTTGCCTTGATTACAAACCCCATTTCTTACTATTGTCAGGTTTACCGTTTAGAGTTTAATTTGCGTTTCATTATTTTATTGTTTTAGAATATAGAAATTATCGAGTCATTCCCTGTGGGATCGACCCTTGCTTGCCCTTTACACAATTCAGTAGTTAGGTTAGTAAGGTTATAATTTGGTGCATTCAGTAGTCATTGTCTTGTGATAATCATATTTTACACTATGATTTTGCATTGAATTTTGATAGGATTTAGGATACTTTTCATACAATTTGGGCTATAATTGCTACCTAATTCTATTAATTTGTCTTTGCAGGCCTAAACGGTGATTTTAGCATAAATGACAGTTTTGAGCGTAAATTGTGTAACTTGAGCTTGGAAACCGGAATGACCTGAATTTAGAAGCTTTGGAAAGCTAAGAAGAAGATCTACAACTTTTATGTTTTGGTTTTTCCTATTCTGACTGTACAAGGGTGAAAACTTGGCTTGAAGTTGTGAAAAGTACGCTGGGAACTGAAGAAAAATGTCTTTGGACGTGCTTCAGTATTTCTGCCATAACATGAGCTGTAGATCTCGGATTGTGTTGATTATTGAACTACCGGAAAGATAATTGAAAGGGCTACAATTCATATGTTTAACACTTTTTCAGATTCAGTTCTATCATGCTCATATTTGGCCCGAAAATATTCACCGTGGCGAAGCTTTGGATTTAAAAATAAAACGACGCTTTTGGCTTGCTAGGGCTTGATCCTTAGTAGAGAGGTATAAATTAGAGCGAAAAAGGAAGAGAAAGAGTCTTGGTTCGTCATTTGCGAGGCAGCTCATGGAAGGAGAAGATTATTGAAGATTTGGGCTTCAAATTAGAGAAGATTTCTCAATCTTTTGCTTGTTTTTCAATGATGAATCTTGATTCAGTTGGTTTTTGTTATTTATTTCGTTTTTGTGTATGAACTGAGTTGTTTAGCTAGGGTTTGATGTAACCTTGATACAATGATTCAAATTTATATGAATTGATTTACTTTGAGTTTTATTTCATGATTGAGTGTTTATCTTTTTGCTAATGACTTTTGGATGCTTGATCACCATTCAATTGTGTTGTTCATAATGAGACTGAGAAGTGATTTGTGATTATGCCTCTTGGGATAAACCGTAGATTAGCAAACGCTAGAGATAGGTTTAGCGATCTATGAAATCTAGACAGAATTCCATAAAGCTTAAAAGACTTTGAACTATTAATCTTCATTTTGTTGGGTGTGGAAGCTTAATAGGGATAATAGAGAAATGTAGCCTGAGAAGGTATGTTTTACAACTTAGGGAATTCGATTTTCAATCAAGGAATAGAACTTGGGCAATAGATTCTATGAATTGGATTAAAGTTCGAGGGGAAATCAACACCCTAGCATTTTTTTAGCATTGTTTAATTAGTTAAGTTGTTGGGTTTTGCTTTAATTTCATTATCATTCATTTATATTTTGTTAATTTGTATTTAGTTGTTAATTTTCCATCAATCCAACTTATTGTTTCTTCAATTAGGACTTAAACTAGGGAAATCAGTACTTAGTAACACTATCCTCGTGGGAACGATACTCTACTCATCATTATATTACTTGTGCGATTAGTATACTTGCTATAATTTGCATGTTTATGAAAACAACGCATCATCTTGGTGGTAGCATGCCGAATGCGTACTGCCTTGTGTTTATATCATAAATAATATCCATGGCAAATTGTATAATGCCTAACATTTAATCAATGACTTCTTTGAATTTTTAACTAGTAGCATGTAGATCGTCTAAGTTGATGTCAACTTTTTTGGAGAATTTTTGTTAATTCTGACGCCGCTTTAACCATTGATAAATCAAATGGGATACAAAATACAATCAAGTTTTATAAATATATGAAAGTGCTACATTTTAACAGTTTCTTATAGTTGTTTAGAAATAGACATAACATGAATGTGTAAATATAAACATGAAACGAACTTTAGACATAGGTTCATACCTTTTAGTTTCTTTGGTAGACAGTTAGAGTTGTCATCATTGGTGCTAATATTTGTTGCAGACTCTTTTGGTTGCAATGTTCTGTCAACCATTATGAAATTAACCTAGGGAAAAGTAATGAAAAATGAAAGCATAGAGATTTTCATACAATTTGAATGGGTGATTCTTTATCCTTATATGTAGATAAGTGTGAGAGGATTATTTAAATGAGAATAGGATACGAACATGTGGAAAATGAATAGACAACTCGTAATAAATAAACATGCCAATTGATGAAGTTTCAAAAACTCTTTGGATAACGTGATTCGAAACGATAGTTAATCATACAAGTACTAACAATAGGAAATGTAATGTTGATGCAATAACATATTAATTAAGTACTTAATTATGGGTTGGCGGGTGGATTTTTTCAATTAATAATGGTTCAGAAATTTTTTTAAATATGTAATAGGAATGATTATTGATAGCTATTGTTAATTGATATTATTCAGTAATGAGAAACTTTAAGTGAGAAATATTTATTATATTTTGATTGTAAAAGGAATGTGTACATTGGTTTTTCTTGCTGTCAAGTAGATTTGGATGAAGTAGATGGGGGTTCT